AAGATTGATTTAATCAATTATTTGAGGTTTCTGAGGTGCGTCCACCCCGTCACTTAACTTGCTAAAGCAAGAGCAACTCCAGCTAGCTAAGGCTAGCTTTCGTGATATGTAGAAAAGCCACCGGCATGTGTTCGCATGTTTTTTCAGTGCCTAACTGCCGAGATTGTCGTGGGGAAAGGAGTGGTGTCTTGGCTTTGCCTGGCCAATCAGGCGTAGTGACTTGCAGCACGAAGCCAGTTCCATCATCATCCCAGGCAAGGAGACCTTTGCCTTGGCGTGTCTTGATCGAGGCCGTCTGGGCTGCATAAGCTCCAGTCAAAACATGGTAGTAGACCGAAACCCTTCTGTCCCACATTTCGTAGGTCTCCCACCGGTCAACCCAAAACTCACCCAGTCTGCTAAGGCCACTTGATGTGGCTAAGGCTGCTAAGGCTCTGTGCCCCCAAGGTTTTGCACAGTACTTCACACATGGCGGGGTGATGTCGGGATCTGGGTCATCGTAGAACTGGTCGTTCCAAAGCACAAAGTTGGGCGCCTGGCCTGAGTAGACCTGGAACCGAACGGAGGGAGATTGACATGGCGGTTCTAGAACCAAACACTGAGGAAGTGGACCTCCGCACTGCCTCCAACAACCCCACCTTGTGCAACTTCTGATGCAGCTGCTGCCACACTTTTTATGATACAACCTGCTGCACTTCTCGTGGTGCGAGCCCCTTTCTAATAAGGATTTGTTCGTCTTCAACGCACCTGTTGAAAGGTCTTGGCCAAGGGATCCTCGCCATTGCCCAAGCAATCGCTATGCAGCTGCATTGGCGAGGTTGAGCCATTGAAGGAAGAGGCCAGGATGTACTGCAAACCAAACCTCAGATCAGTGAGCTGCTGGAGGATCTACCGCTGCCGCTGCAGTATTTCAGCGCCGTTTTAAGTAAGTTATACAACAATCATCTAGGACCCCGATATACTTGATAATGCGGCCTTATAACAGTCCAATCCAGCCACAAGAGATCACCTGAACAACTCCCAAAAATGAATCGAGAATAGGATTGCAGCTGCGGTCCTCATGGCGCTTTCAGGAGCTCTGGCCTAGAACCGCCCCAAAAAGAATAACCGTGGGGGAAGTGGCAGGGGCCTCGTCGCTCTGCCGTCGTTTGACACCCCGTTCCGCAACCGCCGCTTGGCAGCATGGGCTCCACAGACTGTGGCATGGCTTCGCCGCCAAAAAGGCAGCTCACCGCAGTGGAACAGCGAGGAAAAGCCGCCTCAGCTGACGCTCCAAAGAAGGGTCACTGCGCGAAGATCCTGAAGCGCAAAACCGTTCGGCCCCCTGGCTACCACCATGTTCTACTACCATGTTATAGCGGGGGGGCCTGCTCAGCCTTTATGATTGCCTGAAACAGGGTATCAGGTCGAAGGCGTGAGATAGTGGAAAATCCTCCAGACCTCTGCTCAACATCCCACTATTTGCAGTGGTCTGGAGCTTGCAGATTCCCGCATCCCAGTGCGAATTTCTCCTCCAATACCATCATTGACTCCACCGAGCCAACCTTTCCAAAGCTCAAACGAGATGCAGTGGTGGGCTTGAAAGCAAACCACCAGTCCACCGCAGTGCCGTCTCCCAACAACGGTGCCAAGCCCGGGCGTGTCGGCGGTGAGGATGTCTGAGCCCTTGACGAGTGGCGAGGGGTTAGGGCAGGGCGATGGATCGGAAGGAGCTCGACTCAACCCCCAGTGAAACCACTAGTCCATAGAGGAAAGGGGGTCTATGCCACTTTTGTCTTGAACATACTAGAGGCCACTAGAACTTCATGGTCGGCCCAGGAACTCTCACAGCGACATTCTTACAGGCAATTTCTTGACCCTACTCAGCATGGCGGAGGTCTGCCCCCCTGTCAACACCATAGGAAGTGTACTTGAACTGAACAACCCAAAAAGACTGGGGAGAGAGAGAGAGAGAGAGATACAGCCACCCCTTGCAATGGCAAATGCACAAAAACAACTATGCTGTCAAGGTTCATGAGCCTGGCGCCCAGCGCTGACCAATGACCAACGAAAATGGCAGCACAAAGGATGACACCCACAAGTCCAACGAAGCAAAGCTTCCACAATCCTGGACGGTCGTGCGGTCATCAAATGGCCGGTCAACACATACCCCCGGCCCAGAAAGTGAGTCACATAACCAGCCTCACGAGACTTGAGGAGTGAGACATGGTGCTCATGCGTGGGCATTCACATGCATGAGTAGTGAAGGTTCTACACCATTGTAGGGAAAGCACTGTCGTTTCCGGGACCTCCGGGCAGTTCTTCTTTCATGCGGGCGGGGGGTTGGGGGTTGGTCTTCCTTGCCTGACCGCCTCCCGCCGTCCGGCCGTCCCCACCGACTCCCCCCCCTGCGGTCACACGTCCTCGGGACACACGCGGCTTCCGCGAGCGGTCAACTCTTGGGGATGCGCCATCCTGCGGAGAAATCGGTGCTGAAGTGGGCACCTTGACTGAGCAAGCTGGACAGGTTTACAACAGCAAGCGGAGCAAGAAGCATGGGCCTCAACCTGAAGCCCCTCCATGGCGGGGACACCAGGAGTGAATGTTCTACTGACTCAGCTTCAGCTACATCGGGGAGAAAACATCTGCAGGCCAGGAAACATGTCAAGGTTGCCTGATGCTGTCGACAGTACGTGTCATAAACAGGCCATAAAGCATGGTGAGACCTTCTCACTTTCAAAGGTTGTACGTGAGCCCTGCAACCACTCGTCACTTCAAAAAATCACCATCATAGAATCCACACCGCTAGCTGCCAAACAAATTAGACATGATCTTGGAGAGCACTCAAAACTAGCATGCCAAACCACTGTCTAGCCAGGCGTTGCGACTTCCTAAAAATCCGTCACTCAATTTTGCGCCGCGTCATTCTGTGCAAAACAAAGTGGTGAAGATTCTGGACCTGTGCCAGTCAAAGCCTCCAACAATCATGTTTACACTGAAATGGGTCATGCAACATGCCATTCATTCTGTTCGCGAAGTTTGTTTGCCCTCCTCAGTGGTCGTTGACTGGAATGGCATTCAGCTTCCCATCTGGAGAATGCTGGACAAGCACCATGCTCGGGGTTTGAATGGGACAGCTAATGCTTTCCCCTCTTCACCTGGGGACCTCATGACTCAACCTGACGTTCGGGAAGGCCGTCCTAAGGGGAAAAAGGTATAGGCTGAAACCTCGCACATCACAGCCCAGATTGTATGCATTTGTTTTCCATATGTGGAGGTTGATATACTGCGATGGCAAGGCTTAGAACACTTACATGTTTTTCAATTGGAGCTGATGATCGTTCTTGAGCTCTGTCCGATTGCTGGCTGCCAAAAGGGGCACATGAAGGCTCTGGTTCGTGACCCGCTTAGCGGATAGCAGACTCAAAGATTGCCCACTGCACATCAAACACTTCTTTGCACTCCAGCAGGCGTTCAGCCTCTGTGGTGTTTTTGCTGGAGACATACCCAACCTTACCCTCAAACCATTAACAAAAGGCATCAGCTTCTCATCTGCCAGACCTCACCTTCTGAAAATAGCCACTTTGTTTAACAAAGGGCTTAAATCGGTGCGCTTCCGCAGAAGCGCTCATTCATATTCTTTCCCATCAGATGGACTCGCGCTCAAAGGACCGCTGTTGAAAAAGCAAAGAAGGAAAAGGGACTTCGAAGAGCCGATTGTGCTTCCTCAGCGCGGGTGCACCAGAAACACCAGCTCTTCACCTTCGCTTTTATCAAACATCAACGTGGTATAGTTGGCCTTGATTGGTTGGGACTATGGAAAGCTCACCGCAATCCGGGGTGCGTTTGATGCATGTTGAAAACGGTGAAGAAATTGCAAGACAGGATTGAAAACTTGTCTATTTTGTGATCCGGGGGTTCAGCCACAGCTACTGTCAGGCTAACAAATAACGGCAACGTGAGCACCCAACTTTGTCAGAGCTGCCTCATTGAAGGAACAAGTTGCCTGTCGCCTGCCGGCCCCAACCACTATGTTTGAGAGTTGAGGGTGACTAACTTGGAACCCAGCGGGGGGAAACCATGACCGACACCTAATCATCGTCATTAGACTTAGTCCTTCATTCAGCTACCAGCTTGAGTCCCAAGTAACTAGCTTCGATGCAAAGGTCACAGCTCCAAGACGAAGGAGTCCATCTCTGGCTTGCGAAAACGACACTGCTCCATGCGGAAAACCAGCCCTTTTCCGAGCTCTTGGATCTGGAGTGAAGTGCTTTAAGATCTTGGGGAACCTGGGAACCTAGGGACCCTGAAAAACAACCCAATTTGTGCTGTGTCCGGGTGTGGTTCAGTACGCACGTGCATTGATGAGTTAAGTACTCAAGCAGGAGATAGCAAGACCTTCCAGAGGTGTCATGTGAAGCCTGACATCTGCGCAAAGACTCCCATTCAGGTCAGAGGGGAAGGGTCTTCTTTTTGCACCCCAAAATGGCCCAACATGATCCGAAAGAAAAACGACGTCCGACAACCACATGTTTTTTGTAGGCATGATCGGCTCAAAAAGCACGCTGTTTTTGGCCAGGCATCAGATTCAGCTTGGTGCGAGAGGTGTCAAAGGTCTGGTACTTCAAATTGGGTGCGCTACTGGAGCTGCTCAAGGGCCCTGAACAAATCACGCATCTGGCACGAATATGGAAAGTGCAAAGAAAAAAGTTATCCACTTCCGTGTTTCTTTCTTGCAGGACAAGGCAGGACAAGCACAAGCATACATCAAAAAGTTGGCGTGCGGCATGCGGCAACTATCTAGAATTTAAAGGAGTGTATAGATTTGAAATTGTTTTCTTCAGAACTTCACCCAAAACCCGGTGGTTTGGCCAACGCCTCGCAGGCTCGTTGCCGGCTGCTAACGGCCGGCCTCATCCCCTCTATCCCCACGCATGGAGACTCCCAACGAATTTCGGGAAGAAGGAAAATACACCAAACGATTGGTTGGGTGCCTGCAGGGTTCCCCCCATACCGAGTAAAACTGAGTTGCTTACGTTTCTTCGTGTCCGTTCGTGCCTGGGCGTTTCGCCAGAACCCTCTCGGGAAAGGGCTCCGTCCAGGCGATGGAGGGCAAATCCGCCGGCATGGCATAGACCCGGCGTACACGCTCCGCCGTGCCCTGCGTCCCGCAGTGGCCGTTGCTGCCGATCCTGGAGGAGTTGTGGTGTTCAACACGGGCGTCCGCCAGGCCCAAAAAATTGTTTTGGGAGTTGTTTGGCCAAATTTCTCAAGTTGACAAGGGGTGGTCAGATCAGTGGCGATATACAGTACATAAATGGAACAAGCATCCTCTGTGTTTGGTTTCGAGGAGCTGAGCAGCCATCAAGCAACTGACACTCAAGGGTGACAATTGCATGACAATTGCAGATGTTTGATTTAATATGATCTAATACGATCTAGTTTGGTCCAGACTGTAACTTCCAACTTCACGCATTTCGCAAACTTTAAACCCTCATCGTTCTGACATTTTTGGAAGTGGATCGGTCACAGGTGGTCAGAAACCCATGCATGTTGAACCCTTGGACCCCCCCCAAGTCTTGTCTGAGCAAATCCATTGGCAGTACGGACGCAACCACAACCAAACAGAGCCTGACCCGTTCTGATACATCATTAGGCCCCCAAAGACATCCAAAAACAGCAAAACATGTCCTCCTGTCATCGGCCACCCTTTCACTCTCCCATACTCTCCCTATTTAAATGTTCCACTTGTTCAATTTTCAAAGGGATTCCCTGCATTGCAGCCCTGGTTCTTCTTCAAGAGACGACCGCCTTGCCGATCCGTTGCAAGGCTTTCCGCCAAGAACCTCCTCACCGCCTCTGGATCCCTGGCCATGGCGGTAGCCATGGCACTTGCGGAGTCTCAGGGGGTTCCGGCTGAACGGCTTGAGCAGCCAAACGAAAAATTTCGGAGCTGCTGATTCTGAGCACGTTCTATATATTCTGACACAATTGACGGATTGTCAAATGGAGTCCTAAGGATGATCGGGCAAATCATGCAAAGAACTGATGGCCAATTGTTCTGGGTTGGCACATCAATGTGGCACCACCTGCAAGTCTGCCAACTGCCCTATGATGTTGAAATAAAAGATCAAAGATGATCCAAAATGTGACATCACTGAGCGCCTATAGCCAACAACATTCTTTTTGCCGGACGCATTTGCGCTCGGAACTTCGTATCATTGACGAAACTTCCACTCACGTCGGCACATGGGGCACCTGTCGGAAAACCATGGCAATGGTTTGGTTTCGCATCTCCAACGTTAATCCCCCACGCGTCACCTCCCGCGGGGGGTTGTTTTCAGCAGTCCTCATACGATGACACGTCATGCACAAGAAACATGCATCATCACATACCCGCAGCAACAGGAAAAAACCATGCCCCTCTTCAAACCCATACTTGCCAATCCGTCCTGTCCAAGTGCGACTAAGTACCACCTCACCCTCAACAAACTCAACCAATTTGGACACGCTGCTGTTTCTGCTCCTTCTGCAACCACTTCATGATGCAATGGATGTGGAAATGGTGCCCGCACTCTCCTGCAAATGTTGCTTCCATGAAAAGGAAATGGATCAGTTACGGGACAACTCCGTCACAAGCTGCTGCGCATTGACGGGAAACATTCCATAGAGTTGGGTTTGATAGTTTTGCAAGTAACACAAAGATAGAGATCATATTTCAAAAAAGTAATCCTTCTTCCTGATTGAATGGGTGTTTGATCTTACACGACCATAAATCAGAATTACAAAAATAAAGCCGTGCTGAGGCTTCTTGCAACACAAACTCTTGAAGTGGGACTTGCTATCCGGCAGCGCCACACCGATACAAGTGGACCCTCAACGTTGCAAACTCTGAATTTCCTCCCCGTCACGGCCTTTCACATGCATCATTTCTTCCGACGTAAGCAGGTGCCTCAAATCTGTTGGTGGCTACCTTCTGAACACAAAATCAACCAACTACGTTCTAGATCTTTATGCGCGCAAGTGGGGCCCGTGCAACTACTGCACGGAGATGCGACTGCATGAGTATGTTCCAACCCGCCCTCCATACAGCAGCGGTCCCCATACTGGAGGGCAATCATCACCTGCCAGTATGCAACGCATCCGCCTTCCGTTTTTTTCTCACCAGTCTCTTTCCTTCCGCATGCTCACGAAACATGTACTTCCACCCAGAAACTGCCAGTAACCAACTTTAAGCAACACAGCCCACCTCTGCTAAAAACGGATCTTGAATTGAAACCGGTTTCATCTTGCAAGCAGTTCCTCTTGGTTTCGCGGGCCCACCAAAGCCTGGCATCTTGCACTCTGGGCAACAGGCGTCGAATGGCATACCTGCATTCCAGCGCGCCATTCCGATGCCCAGCCCACGGCAAAACAATGCTACCAAGCCACGGCAAATGGAACAGCATTCTTCATCGACCTGTCCGTGGCATGTAGTGCCATTCGTCACTGTATGTGATGGGATGTTGCGTTTCCTTTCCCGAGGGCCTCCCACTGCCAAACAGCAACCGGACGATATCCTGGCAGGTGCGAATTCTCATTGTCTAGCCCAAAGCATGCAACTGCAATAGCTGCGCAATGCGTAACCATGCAAACAATAACAAAACAAAATGCAAAACAACAATGCAGCCAGGATAGCCGTTGATGATGATCTTCATGGCTCCCGGTGCTGAATTGCTCAAGTCTACTGGAGCCTGCTTGCTGTGAGGGCCACGCCACCGTTGTTCCAAGCCCTGTTGTTCCCAGCGCAACGCACGTGGCGCATCGTGGCACTCTGCCGTTTGGCCCGCCAACCCCCCGTCCCCCCAAAAGACACCACAAAATTTGCTCTTCCGCGAAGGGCGGAGGAAACACAACGCGTAGTGTTTCCTCGGTGCTGGTAGCCGAAACCCAATGACCGCTTTTCAAAAAACGGTCGCCACCACCGTTGGACACGGGTGCTGGTGGAACAGCACCGTCTTGCAAGTCGAGGGCCTTTTCACCAGGTTTTTGCCAAGCGAAGGTGCTGGTGGTTCGCGGTCTGACGGTTCACTTCCGCCAGTGCCAAGTTTCTGATTGCGGACCTTTGGCATGCTTTGGTCCACCTCAATCCCGCGGACAAAATATAGCGTTTGGTCCAGGTGGAAAATAAGAACCGAACCCGCAAGCCACCACTGAAATCGCACTTTTACTGTGGACACCGTGCCAATGTGGTTTGCGTACTGGTTTGCATGTCATGTGCAACTGTGGCTGCCGTGGCCAATCTTTGGGTGCAGGTAGGCTAGCTAACAAGTCAAACAAAAATGGTAGATTGTAGTTGCATGTCGCGTCGGGCCACCACGTGGATTTCCGGGTCCCCGGCCGGAGAAGTGCCACAACACTGGCTGACGATCCGATGCCCACTTTGCCACCAGGCACCGCACGTTCGAAGGTTGCCAACTTACCAATTACACCGCATGCAAATTTTACCGACTGCAACGTGACTTTGAGTGGAAAATTTTGGCAATTGCCACTGGTGCTGGAGATAGGACCGCGGCTTCGATACAACCTTGGTACTACTGACCGTTGCAGTTTTCCTCAGCGGTTGTGAGTCCGTAGCCTGAAAGCTGCAGGTGGGTTTGGGAGCTTGGCCGTTTATGGGTCCAGCTTCAAAAATTGAGGGTACCTTGGGTAGGCCGATTTTATCAACATAGATGACTATAATATCATAAAATGAAATACCCCAGCCCCGCCCAGAATCTACCAAATCAACCCCCCTCACCCGTCAGCCAAGGGACGACAGGGCATAGTCCACTGGAAACAATACTTGGGGGCACTAAAAAATCACTAAACCCAGTTCCAGAACATATAATGTTTATACGGGGTGGCATGCAAGTCCTTACATCTCGAAAGTGCCAAATCATGTGCCAAACGCGCATATCGAGAAACGCGCTGCAAGAAAAATTTGGTCAAACTGTTTGTGATGGTGCCTCACCGCATCGCCCCGTCAATGCATATATGGATTGTTGACTCTACAGGGCTGCACAAACGCTACCTTTGGCAAAACAACTGCAGTATCGAAGGCCCTAGGATATTGAGACAAATTGAAATGAAAACGGGCCAGCAAAACTATTTGACAACACATTTGTGCTGCCAGGTTTGCAGAAAGTGTTTTGCAGAAGTGTGAAAGAGTTATGTTTTGGCATCCATGCACCGAAATTGCTGCCAATTATGTTGACAATTTTGTTCTGAGAGGGTCGGCCACAGGGCATACTGCGGTTTGCAAAGTTCCGGCCCGCGTGAACCACCAGGCACAAGTCATTATTGAACTGCCTGCAGGTCAATCATGGGTGCTCAGGAAAATATATAAAAACTTGGTTTCCAACGATGCCCGACGCAACACTTTGCTAAAAATTGACGAGGACGACAATTTTGTACATGGCTATGAATAATCGAGCCATATCAAGTTTCACATACCTACAAAAGGTATGTCTGTTACAAACCTAAGGTTTAAAATCAACCATGTGTTCTTAAATAATGAATACCTCCATCATCAAGGTCTCTAAAAATGCATAAAGGCAACCACAACAACAAAAGGTTTGCCTCTGAACATACCTTCACAAATCTATATTTGATCGCTACCTGTTAGGGGAGGGGGGACCTAAAAAAATGTAAGTTATATTTTTCCTGGGGGGGGGTCCTGGTTTGATACCTCAAATATGTAAGCTTACATTTTTTAAATAGACGTAGAAAATGTAAGCTTACATTTTCTACGTCTGCAATGCAAGACACAGCAATATATTGCATATGCCTACACAAAATTGCGCAAGGCTGAAACAGATACAAGTCTGGCAGGTCCGCAACTTCTTCGAACCATCCGGAGGGTACCAGTACCCTCAGAATGGAAAGGGCTGCGACCCCCACAACATAAAGTGATATCACATGACATGCAGCAAGCTCCAAATTGCAACAAACACGCTCTCCTTCCAGGATTCACAGAGTATCATTGAGGATTAGTATGTTAGTATGTTACATTGTGAGGGGCACCCTGTAAAATGTAAGCTACCATGTGCCTAGGTGATACGTTACCTTTTCAGAGGTACCCTGTAAAATGTAAGTTGCCACGTGCCCACATAGTAAGTTACATTTTTACCACCCCCTCCCCCTCCCCTCCTGCACTCTAAGCACTCACCGGTGATTCCCTGGGGGATCCCTGGGGAATCTTGGGGAATCCCTGCCAGTCCACATCCCCCCCCCAAAAAAAACAGCTTAAATTTCCACCGGTCAATCCCCAGGAAAGCCACCGGTCAAAAAGTAGAGGGGGGGTCCAACATACATTTATGCCCCCCCCCCCAAAATGTAACTTGCATTTTTTTACGTCCCCCCTCAAAAACCTGAGGCAAGGGGGTGGCGATTATATTTGCATGTTTTGTTTCTAGGAGTTTTTGGGCAGGGCCGGCAAGGCTTGTGTGAGGTGCTGTGAGGTGTGGAACCTGTGTTTTGTGGAGCGAGGGTTCCGCTAGAATATGTTCTGCCAACCCACAGCCAAATCCACAAAAAAATGGCAACACATACCTTTTTCAATCTGCTAAGCGACTAAGCAGTTCTAATTCTAAGACTTTCGGGCTGGGCTGGGTGTCTGTTGGGGTGGGTGGGTGCCATGCAGCAAATATACAGATTAAAACACAACCTCCAACCACAAAAGGCGTGTCTCTGACCATGCTTCCCCAAATCTATTTGCATGCTCTGGCTCCAAGCTTGGCAGGGCTGGCAAGGATTGTGTGCGGTGCTGGGAGTTGTGGGGCCAATGTTTTGGGGAATGCCTCGGTTGGAAGGAGGGTTCCAACAGAATACCGTCAGTCTGTGCAACAATTTGTATTCAAACGTTTTCTGGCTGGGTTGGGTGGTTCTTGCGGGAGTTTGCTTGGT